GAGTTGCTAACGAGTATTTCCAACCTTGGACTACTCGGACACAGCTTCTTAACAATATCTCATATATCATTTTGTAGCCCGTGAAGTTCTCTATCGAGTGATGTATACTAGTTGATACTTCCTGTAGGGGAAAGAGTTAGACGAATTAAATTGCCTTGGGCAATTTCGGTTAAAGCAAGAAGGTTTTAGTTTGGCAAAAGGCTTCCAGGGGCGTTCGAAAGGATTTTTATTGGCTAAAAATATGATAGGTTTAATGGGCAAGAAAAACTGCATCAGATGAGTTACTGCATAATGGATTTGGTAGTGGGCGGATTTGTGGTCTTATCGTCCCCCGTCCTTTTTGCGGTCTTTCGAATGGCCGTCTCGGATTTTAGACTCTGAGGAGGATTTTTGAGAAAAATCAGTTTTTGCCTTAGAAAGTAGAAACTTTTACACATCCTCGCTTCTTCTTTTATAACTCTCAGAATTTCTACCCGAGAAAATTGGTGACGCATGTTCTTGTAGAGAATTAAATGGCGCGTCGTTTAAAAAAAAATTTGAGTAGATTGTACAAAAAATGATGGAGTTGTCGCAAAAACAAAAAGGGCCATTTTACCTGGGACACCCGATACAACATCAATTTATATTAACTTTTAACTGCAAATTAATCTAAATCAATTTGTAATAACTATTTCACTTAAGTTGTCAGAACATTTATTTTTAAAACTCTCTCTCTCTAGATCAACTAAACTTAGAGTATTTTCATTATTTCACCTTTTGCTCACAACAAACTCCGCTAGTATATAACTTACTATTCGATAGAGAATTCCACGGGCTACACAAATGTTATATAGACTATTGAAGATATAACTGGGTAATCTAACATCAAAAATACTATGTAGCATCTCAGCAAATCGGTAGATCAACAAGAAAAACCAACTCGTGTAAAAATTTTCGAACAGGATTGTATTGATTTCTTTTCATGAGCTGATCGCCCGGGATCGCCTCTTCAGAATGGGAGTCAAGCGAGACCTTGATTTTTCGCTGCCCGGGCGTTGTATCGAATTCCCTACGAGTCTTAGGACCGGCACCTGGTATAAATGTGAAACTCGACTTGAATTAGATTTAGTTAATTTTTGCAACCGCTTTGTAGTTACTAGAGACTCAGACAGAACTCATTTATGAAAGAATCAAAAGAAGGTATCACGACTGGTTTCAACCTTTCTCAAGGGTCTCATCAGATAGTTTCCTTGGAGAAAGACAGACTTGAGGCACGACACAACTCTGTCACACCGTACGAGGATGTTACTCTTTCCTTGTTCTTATGCTGACCTTTATGGCCATATTTGTTTTTCGAAAACTTTTAAAAATACCGCGAAAAGCGAGGTTTGCGGAAATTAGGGCTTTTACGCTATTTTCACCTAATATTAAAAAATTCACTATTCACTCAAGAAACATCAGAACAAGTTCAAAATTTTAAACTACAGGCTATTCTATATCCTGTTTATTGGAGATCTAGAAAGATTTGACAAAACTCTAAGGTTTTCCGAAAGGATTTGAAAACAGCCTGAAAACCATGATGTTCGTAAAACTCACTTTTCGCTATATTTTTAAAACTTTTTCTAAAAACAAATATAACCACGAGACTCATGTTTTGAAGAGATGTCGGGCTACCAGCTCATGAAAAAGAATCAATACAATCCTATTTGAAAATTTTTACACGAGTTGGTTTTTCTTGTTGATCTACCGGTTTGCTGAGATGCTACATAGTATTTCTGATGTTAGACTACGCAGTCATACTTTCTTCATTAGTCTATATAACAATTTTGTAGTCCGTGAAATTCTTTATCGAATGGTAAATGAGCAAAAGAGGTGAAATAATGAAAATACTCTAAGTTTAGTTGATCTAGAGAAAGAGCTGTCGAGTGCAAAAAATCTTATTAAGGAGCATCAGAAAGCGTTTTTCAACATCTAGGAATGTATCAGTTTTAATGCCGGAGAGAAACAACATAAAATCCCTGTATAGAATAATTATCGGAGAGGGGACTGTTTTTGCCGCTTATCGACCCCCGCCTTTTTTGAGAAAGACAAAATCTAGTAGCTACCTGCGATTCTTTTAAATGAATGTTTTTGTAATATACTTGAAATAATTTGGAGAATATAAATTGGTTTTAAGAGTCGAAATTAATGTAAATACATTTAAAATAAACTAGTTTACATAAATCTCAATGCTCAGAATTAACTTGAAGTGGTTTGTACATGTATATTAATTTATTTTAAGTATTAATTTCAATCTCGAAATTGACGTAAATTAATTTTACAATTTTTTTAGTGAAAAATTGGTTCTAATGGAAGACTTCTTCCTTTTATCGTCTTCAGCTATTTTTACTGTTATATGAGCTTCCAGAGCAGTTTCTTTATTCTCATTGCAAAAGCTTAGTTCCTTGATCAACGTGTACTCTAACGTTTTACGTTTGCAAAAGTAATGTTTCCAGTTTATTTCAAATGGAGGTGAAATACGTTTTAAGTGGCATTGCTTTTAAAGTTAGGATGTCTTTAAGTTAATCTATTATGCGGGTTTCGTAGAATATAATAAAAAATATAAGATTCAAATTGATTAAGTTTTCATAAAATGGTTCAATGTAGATATTAAATAAAATAATAAAAAATTAATCTCAATCTGTAAGCAGAACGCATGCCTAAAAATTATTGACTTCCTAATGCTTCTGAGCAAGTTAGAAAGAAATAAGCTATTAAATAAAATAATAAAAAATAACGTTTTGCGAGTTTATGGGCAAAGTTAAGAATAAAAATTTTAAAACCAATGCGGCTATCATGTTAAGAATTTTAATAAACAGTTTTAATAAAATAATAAAAAATTAAACAATTCCATGTGCATGACGAGGAGAGAAGGAAGAAAGAGAATATTCTTTATATATAAAATATACAAGTAACAATATTATCCATATATCATAATCTCGTTCTCTTTCTTCCTTCTCTCCTCGTCATGCACATGGAATTTCAGTCTTCTTTGTAATGTGTGTGCCTAGATTAGAAAAACACTAGATATATATATAATCAGTTATTTTTGTTTTCAATTTTTATGTAACATCCTGTAGGAAGAGAAACTTGAAAATGACCGTATTAATAGGTCGAAATATCGAATAATAATTTTAATATTTTAGTTTTAATTGTTTAATTTTTTATTATCTTATTAAAACTTTTTATTAAAATTCTTAACATGATAGCCGCATTGGTTTTAAAATTTTTAAATAATAAAAAATTAATCTCAATCTGTAAGCAGAACGCATGCCTAAAAATTACTGGCTTCCTGATACTTCACTTTTTGATGATAATGCATGAAGCCATAGATATCTTGAAAATATATCCGACACGACCGGCACAATTGGTTAAAAAAGACCAATTTTAACTGCAAATAAAGAGAAACAAGAATGCTATACACTTATAACTGTTGTGAACCATAAATAACAGGTTTTCGATTTAAATCGACTAGATCAACTTGAACTCGTTCCATTATTCATTTAGATTGAATAACTTTGTTCGACTTTTTGCTCGAAAACTCGAGCTTAATCATGCCATTTTCATCACTTGATTTAATAACATCGGTAATACAATTTTTTGATATACGATAATGTATTTGATCGAAATTACAGTCCAAAACTTCAAGTCCTAAATAAAAAGGTTTCCACAAAGAATCCTTAATTAACAATAAAATGTTCCACACTTATTTGAATTTATCTTGACTCGAAGGGCGCGATGGTAACGCGAACGGCGAAAACTGTCGTTAAAATAAACAATAAAATAATAAGCAGAGCTAAACATAAAATTGAATAATAGATTAAAATGAAGAAAAGATAAACACGTATCCTGTCATTCTTGAGAAAAAATACAAACCTAGCTACACTCACTCCATCATATTCTAACACTCACTTATTATCCCATGTACCGTTTGTGTCGCACCACCCAAATGTTTCTCGTAATAGACCATAACCAACTGATCAATAGTACCGTCAGCAACCAAGATTAATCTATTGACCGTCATAACTTCTTTCTCCCCACCACCCAACCATCAACGAAACGTTGAATATTTGATTTTTGCAACAGCATTATAATTAGATAAATTCAATTTTTCTGAGTACTATAAATGCGTAAGTGTATACAAACTAGATAACTTTGTGCAAACCAGACTTAAGTACAAAAATAGTAAGAGAAAAGACAATTAAACAATATACAAGAGTTACTTTATTGATGAACAGTTAATGTAAGCAGTGACTATATAAATAAATATATTCAAAATACTGAGAGAATCAATTCTTCAAAAGCGCCGTTATTTAAACAGTTTTGAAAGAAAATTGACAATCAGCAATGCTCTCATAGCTGTATTGCTTTCGATTAAACACTTATCATAATTTTTCATTTCTGTGTGCAAACCCACAGATAACAACCGAAGGTAAATAGTGATGAAAAGTGTTTATGCTTTTGCATCTTGACAGTGAAACAAAACGCGAACACAACTATTGAATTCAAACAGATCACTGTTTAATGGCACATTCACGTTTTCTCGATGATCAGGAAGGACATGGAAACTTATTACTTCCCATTCAAGGATACAAAAACTGTACATTACTACCATTAGAAGAAGCCGTGAAACCTCTTACACATCTATGTGAAAATTTATTAGCTAACGTTTGGATTATTAAAAAAAGATGTGAAACTATTGTTGATAATGTCCTTTCAATCGATGAATCAGCTTCAATTCAATTATATACAACTGAATGGCTTCCAAGTGAAAATACTGTTTATTATCAGCTCAATCATGTTTTACGATCAAAAGAACGTGTGAAACTAATATCACCATGGTTATTGTATCTGAAATTATTTCTCACTGCTCTCTTCAAATTAGAATCTGTTCAGACAGTGATCTGGCGTGGAATAAGAGGCAATTTTAGTAATCACTATCCAGAAGGAAAAGAAATTATTTGGTGGGGATTTAGTTCATGCACACAATCAATTAAACTTCTTGAATTAGATCAGTATCTTGGAAAAGATGGTGACAGAACATTGTTTAATATACAGTGTTTAAAAGGGAAACAGGTCCAGAAATATTCGTACTATTCTGAAAACGAAGTTTTATTAATGCCAGGGACATATTTGCAAGTAGTGGATACATTAGACGCTGGAAATGGCTTACATGTTATTCACCTAAGAGAATTAATCCCACCACATGAATTACTTCAACCACCGTTTTCAGTAGTGATGAAAACGTCCGAACCTGAAGGAATATTTCCAAAGGTATGTTTAGCATTTGTTCGCAGTTCCATAAGAGGTACAACTGCTTCCAAAGTAATATCCGATTCTCGTGTTCTTTCATTTCTGTTGTCAGAATCTGTGTCGGATACGTTTGTCAGAAGTTTTCGGGATGAGAACCTTCCTGAAGTTTCAACCAATTTATTTTTCCATTCGTTCTTCATTTGTTTCTCTTCTGCAGATGATGACTCATTTTTCTTACTATAAAACGTTTGTAAGAGATGACTGTACTCTGTGTAACGAAAATTGATCGTTTCTGAGTTTATTTCTAACACAAACTGATTATGATGTGACTGTACAAATATGAAAATAGGTAGAAGCAGTGAACGGTATCCAAAGTTCATAAAGAGTTCACTAAAAATGTATAGTGGAAAGTAGAGAAGCAGTGGAGCAAAACAAAAGCGAGACAATGGAAGAATAGTATTATTATTCACACACTGAGGCATTGTTTAAGATGAAATAACATACAGATTTTTCTACATTTTCGACTATCATAAGCCTCTGTTAGAATACATGTTGTACATGTATTTTCAACCATGGTGCGCTGAATGGTACCATGAGACTCGAAAAATAAATCAAATTTTCAAAACTAAATCAGAATTTGTAAAACTGATAGGATGGGTAGTCAATCAATATTTAAAGCACTATAAAAAAAGCAATGAAATCCGACAGTTTTTTTCATTTTTCGGCAGACATTGGATCTGGACGAAAACCGACAGAAATACAGCAGGAAATAATCAGACCAAATCCATTCTAGGCTCTGAATGACTTTGCCTTGTTATGATGGAAACCGACGGTCGGAATAACGAGCTTTTCGATACTAAAATCAGTTTTCTAGGAAAGAAAAGATCCTAAAGAACTATGCATAGTTCAGACCACAAAAGCATTTACGACGAAAACCAAACTCCAAAAGCTAACAGTTTTCTATTTTTACAATGATCTTTCTTTTTTTACTATTTACGTATCATTAAAAATCGTTTCCGAATCACCGGCTTCTTTAGAAAAATTTTATATTCGAGTACTTTCCAGAAATTACTCGTATTCGTACTGAGAAATCGGTGTACTCGCCCATCTCTGCTATCGTCCGTTTCGAAAAAGATTGTACTCTGTCACCTGCTGAATAACTGCTCATAGAGCTCTGATGTTTTGGCATTTGAAACAGACGATTTGAGGGTATAATCAAAACCATTTTCAAATTCAGTTTTCTAAGTAGGTTTCATAAAAGATCTTTGGAGAACCACTCTGGATCTCCAAACATTAAGGTTTTCTTTTTTCACATGATTAGAAAGCCTTGAGTGTCCTGTTCAAGATAAGAATCCTCCATTCTCTTTATTCTTTGTCGTTTGGGCGCAGAATCGGATTCTGCTTGAAACATAGTTGTTCTTGGATAACTGTTGATGCTGATCACGAATCTGATATTCATTTGTGCCCATAGACTTTTCTTGGAGGATTCTCCGAAAACCAGGTGTCTGGATATTCAATGTGAGCTTTCTCAATCCCAATATTTCGGCCTTTTTGCAGAGTAAAATTTTTGTATCTTCTCCAAAACTAGTTCGTTGACCTGAAAACTCTCTCCATATAGGTAACCTGACGTCCTCTACAATCTGATGTTGTCAGAATGAGTTCAAATAAAACACTGCTTTAGGTGAAATAAACCATTCTAGGTTCTTGTCATACAAAATTTCAAAATTGTGACACTTAGAATCAATACTGAAAACTTCAGATACTCTATTGTAGCTGCTTATATACTGCTACAAGTACGGTAAACTGCAACAAAATCTCGTGAAGCTTACAGAGTATTCTGAGAAATTCGAGAATTCAAGTAGGCTCTCTGGGAACTGTGAAGCGCATGATCATGATAAAACGGACAATAGTTGTCTTTTGATCAAACTAACAGGTTAACAAATTTTCTTGTAAAAATAGAAAACTGCTAGCTTTTGGAGTTTGTTCAGAAAAACATTTACTACCCTAACGAATCAGAGCTCAGAAAGTCTAAAGTTTGCTGTTATTCGGTTTATGTAGAAAATCAAACAGACAAAAGCAGTTTCTACATATTCCTGCCTTTGGCTCACGTTCGATTGTCACATCAGAAACCTTTTGATTGCTTCTTATAATAATCTTAGGCCGTTTGGTTTTCGTTGCAAATGGTTTTGTGGTCTGAACTATACATAGTTCTGTAGGATCTTTTCTTTCCTAGAAAACCGATTTTGAAAACCGTTTTTATTATAAAAGGATATTCCCGAGTTTCCTCTTTCAAATGAAGGAAGCCCTCTGTCATGACTCGAAAGTTATTCAGAAAATAGTGATATACCATTATTTTTTTTAAGAAATAATATATATAAGTTTAATTATACCACCTTCGATGCGACATTTGTTCTGTTGATCCTATACAGTGGATTTAAAATAGATTCGCCAATTTATGTTTAAGAAATTAGATTCTTGATAATCAAACCCAAATAGATCCCATTCTATCTAATTAGACCTAGAACGAGAATAACGAAAACAGCTGTGCAATGTCGTTGAAAGCAGCGCCTTCGAAGGGTTTTTCTACCAACATGCGATGAAAGACACTGACTATATGTATTGGTTGGTGCTGATCCTGAAGGGGATAGTTAGGACAGCCCTTATGCCATTGGAGATCGGATTTTCAGAAACGGTACTTCAAAAACCCAACAGTTCTTCAGCGTCATTTTCTGATCGTACCTGTTTGTGGAGTCCATCGAGCTTCCCACGCCTATAAATTTCTTTGAAGAAAGAATACATGACACTGATCTAGTTAGGACATCGTCGTTATAGTTGAGTGTGGTCCTCTAGCGAAAGTATACTATTCCAGTAGAGTCATCAGTCGTGCAGTGAGTGAGTTGCAAAGCTATCATCTCATATTAGTAAAATCTACTATCGAAAAAAGCGGTCGATGTTGAATGCGAGTAAAATAATGTTTTCACCGACGAATTCTCTGTCAAAACCGCCTGAGATTTGATTTCTATATGTTTTGTTTCTGGCAAAGTTGTTGAAGTGACTCTTTAGTTGATTCACTTCGAAAGTCGGGTCGATAGATATGATACTGCAGTTATGTACTGAAATCATTTCTAAATATATAGATAGCTCTGATTGTCTCCTGTGCAGTATACCTTAACTATTCTGAAGTACCAACTGCAACAGAGAAATTGCTTCTTTCTTTCTTTCTTTTTATTTTGGTAACATACCATGGTACATAATAAAAGTTCAGACATAAGAATGACTTGCAACAGAAAAAATAAACATGGAATTCAAAGTTTCTGCCTATCATGACCAACAA